CAATACACAAAAACAGGTTTAGGGAAGATGAAAAAACGTTTCAGCAAAAACAGTGGGAGATTTTTATTCATTCAGCCTGAAAAGATACCCAAGACATGTTGATTATTGTCTTTTCATTGATAGGGATAATGTACAAACAGATTATTGCTCAGAAACCCACTTGATGAATCAACATATAGCCTCTTGAGCTCAAAGGGATGTTTTGGACACATTATCTACTAATAATAATCTTCCCATATGGGAATTTGGAAAGTATGAAATGAAAACAGGTACAGAGTACATATAAAACCTGGTTATCTGAAATAAAGTTTTTAGGGACTGGAGCAGTTGATAATACAATACAAAATGCTATAATTATGCTACATTATACATTTATAGAAAATATAATATATTTAGAGGCAATGTAAGATAAGGAGTCATTTCTATAATGAAGTAGAAATGGTTAGCCATATCACTTGAATCAAACCAAAGTTGCATCAGGATTCAAATCACCATTACAAATAGAATTATTTTTGACTGGAAGTTGTGAAGACCTGAACATCACTGTTGACTTGTGACTGTACACTGGTGAAAGTATAGATAATTTTCTGTATCTTCGGATGGTACCAATTAGGTAGTACAAAATGAAAAATGCATTCACCATTCACAACAGAAAGCATTGCTCATAACATCTAACATGTTCATTGGGATGATGATTGAATGGAATCAAGACTGAATTGCATTGTTTACTGGCTGGACAGCCAGATTATTGTTTGAAAAATAAATCTATGAAGATTCAAATTTTGTGCAATTTTGAATTATTAAAGCACAAGTTTTATTTTCATCAGAAAAATCCTTCTGAACATTATAAAAATAACCATTTTGCCTGGAATAGAATACAGTGTGTCCCAAATTCGATCCTCACCATTGGGATCTCAGTAACTATGAGAGATAGAGAAACGGTTAAATTAGCAAAGTTGTAGCAAATTTAATGTCGAATCATAATCTATCGAGAAATCCGGGCTAGCTTCAGTCATTCTTGAGTTATTTGAGAAAAACTGAAATCTTGTATTTTTGTTTTTCTCGAATATCTCGGAACCAATTGATTTTATAAAAAAATGACTTCAACATTCTCATAGCACTTTTTAGTGCTCTTTTCAATGGTTCTGTCAGTTTTCCGTCAAAATGTCAAATTTCTGAGATATCACCTACAACTTCCATTTTTCTTATGGACGCCATATTGGATTTTGACAGATTTGAAATCAGCATCAAATTTCCTTTTTAGTGATATATCACACTCACAGTTTTGTTCTATTTGGGGTACTGATTTCCAATTTTTGTTTTTATGTCAAGTAGGCTATGAATTCTGTGTTCTATGTTCTTGCATAACTTATCGCATGGAATTGGATGTGTACTATTATAGCAGAAAAAAAATGTAATAACAGTTGAATAATACAAATACTGAAAAAAAAATCAATTGAACTGCTCGAAATGGCCCCCATTGTTCTCGATACATTTTAATATTCGCGAGCGAACATGATTCGCAGCTTTTCTCAGATGAACTCTGTTGATGTTCTGGAACGTGTCCATCACCCTATCTCGTAGATCATCAATATCTTGAATTGGATCTTCATAAATTTTATTTTTGGCGTAGCCCCACAGGTAAAAATCGAGAGGCGTACAGTCAGGCGACCTTGGAGGCCATCTCACAGGTCCATGGGTAGTAATTAATTTAGCACCAAATTGGTTCTCGAGATATTCCCTAACCAATCGCGTATTGTGCGGTGGGGCACCATCTTGCTGAAACCACATTAACTCATATATTCAGCAAGTGGTATCTCGTCTATAAAATTCAAAATTTCATTTCTCAATAGCTCTAAATAACGTGGACCATTCAAGTTATAATCGTAGATTATTGGACCTAGTAGTCTACTGCCTGAAAAAAATACACAATGAGAAACAGTTATTCATGGACCAAAATTCTAGTAAGGTACCAAATATCCCACACCAAACATTGAAACCAAATTTGTTCTGCCACTTTGATTCTCTGATGACATGCGGATTATTTTGTGCCCAGTAATGATGATTATGTTTATTGTAAATTCCATTATTATGAAATCTCGTTTCATCGGTCCAGCAGATATTCAATGGAAAGTTCTCGATTCTTTCACACTGGTTATGGAACCAGTGACAAAACTCGAGACGACGTTCATTATCACCAGGCCTTAACCCTTGTACTATCACTGGTTTGAAAGGGTGGTAGTTATCATTCACTAAATGTCTGTGGATTGTTGTTTTCGGCACAAGAGTTCTCCGACTAAGCTCTCGAATTGAAATGGTATGAGTTTGATTGATGATTCCTTCGATATTTGCAATATCTTGTTCATCCAAGCGCAAACCATACCTTGGCCTAGGTGCAATGAAACTTCCATGCTCTTGCAAATTTCTTTGTAATGTTAGAAAAATAGAAGGATGCGGTTGTTGTCTTTCTGGATATAAATGGAAGTATTGTCTAGCTGTTTCTCTGTTATTTCGATTATTTTTGATATAACAATAATTGTATGTACATATCAAATTTTTCGAGATTTGTGAACGGCATTGTTTGCCCCGAAATAATTGACTTGTATTTTTTCTTGACGTTTACAGAAATGTCACTTGGCTCACCTTTGCTCCAAGCCTACTCTATGAAAGTTGTGCCAGAACACATTATCGTTAATGTTTATAGAGAGCTTAGCGCATAGCCTACTGGACATAAAAACAAACATTGGAAATCAGCACCCCAAATAGAATAAAACTGTAAGTGTGATACATCACTAGAAAGGAAATTTGATGCTGATTTCAAATCTGTCAAAATCCAATATGGCGTCCATAAGAAAAATTGAAGTTGTAGGTGATATCTCAGAAATTTGACATTTTGACGGAAAACTGACAAAACCATTGAAAAGAGCACTAAAAAGTGCTATGAGAATGTTGAAGACATTTTTTCATAAAATCAATAGGTTCCGAGATATTCGAGAAAAACAAAAATACAAGACTTCAGTTTTTCTCAAATAACTCAGGAATGACTGAAGCTAGCCCGGATTTCTCGATAGATTATGATTCAACATTAAATTTGCTACAACTTTGCCAATTTAACCGTTTCTCTATCTCTCATAGTTACTGAGATCCCAATGGTGAGGATCGAATTTGGGACACACTGTATAATTGGCAGCATGTGTGAGTATAATAATATACAGGGGAAATGTATACTACATTCCATGTAGTAAACATGATTAGGAATAATATAATTTCAAATCAAATCCAAGTTGCCTCAATTGTTAAAAAATTGTAATATAGTCTCTAGATATTTTGAGTTCCAGATGAACTATAAGCCAAAATTTTCAACTAATTGCAAGTTTTGAAGTAAGGAAAAAAGCTGTGAGTAGGTACTGCACAACACTTGAGGCAACTGGTAAATACACAATGTTGGATTTTTTTCTGAATTCATGGAGAACCTAAATTAGAAGTACAAGTACCAGTAAGTGAAGGATAAATAGATTTACATTTTATTAAATGAGCACTTATTTAGGTACTTTGAATCTACATGCAAGATAATCCAGCAAAAAATAGGAAGTTTTGCTAAAATCATATAATTGGCCCATTGGACATTAGGAAAACAAGTATGAATTGATACATGGACATATAATTTTCAGCCAGAAAGTTAATTGATGATTTGAATTTGGTATTCTGATTATGGAATTTCAAAGAAGTAATTCCAGAACTAGCCTCTTAATAGGTCAGAAAAATATTCTGAATCTATTATCTACTTGGCCCCACCTACTATTCAATGAGAATTTAGAAATTATGAAACAAAAATCATAATTGTTTCCATGGAAAATACAAGTCTGGCCATTTTGCCTGGAACTGAATATAACTGGCAGAATATGTGAATATCAATATGTGAAAATATCATGATGTAAAACTTTTGATGTCAAACCCAAGTTGCCTCAATTGTTGAATGATAAAATATTCCCTAGATATTTTGGGTTCTAGATGAACCATAAGACTTACTGCAGGTTTTGAAATAATGGAAACTCTTGAGGACCTACCTACACAACACTTGAGGCAACAGAAAATGTTTACTTGATTCTCATAGGGAAACTAAATTTGAAGTACTAATAGCAGTACGTAAAGGATATATTATTCACAATAATTTTGTTTGATGAGCACTTGACATACTTAGGAATTCAAAACCTGAATAGATTATCCATCAAAAATCAGGAAGTGTTGTTAAAATCATAAAATAGGCTCATTGGAATAATAACAAACCTGACTTCATGAAATATAAATTGATCTACATAATAATTATGAAACTAATTTTCAACCATATCATTGCTCCAGAAGTCTATTGATGGAAATGTGTTGGTCTTGTGAATAATTACAGATTACAGAGAATTCCAAATGGACAAATTCTATTCATCAGGAAAGTTATAATTCATTTTTAATTTGTCATCTTCTGTTAGATAAATCATTGGAATCATTGACCAAAATGGCAATACAATCAATGAAAAATGCAAACCTGGCCATTATGGAATTGAAAACATTGGTATTTTAGAGAAAATACAGGGAAACAATACTAGCTACTATAATGTAGTGGAAATAATTGGGAATAATTATATTCCATATCAAATCTAAGTTGACTCAATCTCAATGTTACCCCAAGTTTTAATATAATACCTAAATTAGGTTCTGGATATACCATAAGCCATCTAAAGTACATGCAGGTTTTGAAATATGGATGCTGTACCTGCACAACACTTGAGGCAACTGGTTTTTAAACATCTGAGCCTTGTTTTCTTGATCCTCATGGGGAACCTAAGTTTGGAAGTATACCAGTAGGTGAAGGATAATGCGTTCACTATATACCTGTTTGATAAGTACCCAATGTAGGTACTCAGGAGCTCTAAACCTAAATATTTATGATTGTAAGGGACAGAACTGTCCAGCGAAAACCATTAGAAGAAATATTATTAAAATCATACCTTGTTGTAAGGCTCATGTCGCCTGAAATCACGGCCTCGGTTGTTAGGACCAAACCGATTGAAATCTCTGGTCTGATTAGAAAAAGCAGGAGACGTATTCAAAGAAAGTAATGACGGCGGATGTTGTTGCTGAGGTTGAAGCAAGCTCGTGAGAGCGAGAGCAAGTTGCTGAGGGTTGGAAGTTAATTGGGAAAGTAGGCCCTGTCCCATGGAATTATGGGACATGCCCGAAGACATGCCCCCCTGCCAGGGGTTGACCCCGCCGCCTCCAAAGGACTGCTGGGAGCGATTGCCCCGAAGGCCGCCGCCCATACCGCCCATTCTTCGATTCGCCATGATAACTTTCAACTAGATATACCAATAAAGTAGTATTAATTCGAGTGGAGAACTAAATGGAAGATGGCGGATGACGCCGCTATACAATCAAAGGCAAACCACTGGAAGACTTTAGTTTCTTACCTAGTTAATCGATGAATGCGATTATGAATGATGCACTATACGTTCACTTTCGATTAAATCACTGAAAGGTGCTATCAAAAACTACCAAAACAGTATAACAATCCCGGCTAATAAGAAAAAATGTAATCTGCGTAACTGAGTTGTCTTCACTTGAGAAGTATCAAAATGGCGTAGGAAGAAGGAAGGCCGACAGGAAATCGGAAATAATCAGTGCTGCCAAATAGCTGCCAAGCTGCCATTATGATGGCATGAATTCAAATAGACATGACTTCCGGTACCAATATATTCTTCACGTGTGCCTGTAGACAGTTCCCCACACCATCATCCAATATTTTGGCTCTCAAAATTTAACGTATTTTTTAATAGGGTCTCTTGATGTAAATTGACGTATTTGTCATCTTAACAGGGTACGGACAGATCATAGCTGCATTCTTTTTTAATGATCTAGAGACTTTAGTTTCGTCTACTGGCATCCCTGACATTGCTGTCACGTCACATCCATGAGCGCTACAGAAAATCATTCAAAATTTTAATAATAGGTATGTACACTAGTTCAGGGTATTTATTTCTTTTTCGTCAAACTTGAAAAAGTCGAGATGACGGATCCAAATGGCGAAAGACATCAGTTCATATAATTATTACTCTACCACAAATAGAAAATATGTAGGATGCAAGAGTGAAAATAACGTTCCTGTAAGTTATACTGCGTATACCGAGGCGTAAATTATTCGAAAATGACTTTTTATTGAGGGAGACGGAAAAATCATATGTATAACATGAGGGTAAAGTATATTCTATTCTTTATTTTCCTGCACATTTTTCGTATTACTTTTCATCAGCCTACTTTTCGTCCCAGACGAAGTTTTATACATAATGTGATATTAGTCACTCCATAAATTCTTCTCCGAATTGGAATTCCGAATATATATTTAGCACACATGACATGAGTACAGTAGTTTAGATACCCACATTGAGGTCTCCACCATTTCTCAACCATAAGGCTCATCTCATAGATAAACTTTTGCTCAGCTTGAAATCAGTATTCATTTAGTCAATTCAGTCAACCCTGGTATACATTCTAAGATAAGAACAATCTCGTTTGGAGAAATATATTGAGCTTTCAGTACAATTTATATGTTCCCTACCTCGCAAAGATTATGCTGGAGTAGTAAACTCTAAAACTAGAGGATTGTTCATCTATGTCTTGGTATAATTGAATCAGGAATTTCATATGGAAATTACGTATGATACGCCAGTGACCTCAATATAACCTGAAAAACAACGAATGTCAAAAATCTAGTGTTCATCCCCAGAATTGAATGAGGATGGAACCATATACCTGTTTCACAAACACTTTAGAGTGAGAGAAGACGAGGATCTGTCCGTACCCTGTTGAGATGACTTTAACGTCAATTTCCATCAAGGGACCCTAATTTTTAAATAATTGAACATAACTCGACCCAGCTGAATCTTCTTTCTAAAAATTATATTTTCCGAAATATTACTTATGAGCAACTTGGAAGAAAAAAAGAGACTACTTTTCTTAAACAAGCTAATAACGAGACTACTTTCGCAAAACAATCTAACCTAGCTCGGCCTAAATGAACCTTCTTCATACAGGGTGGCCCACTTATACTCGCTCGGACCATAGCTGCTCGGCTGATAGAGACAGAAGAAAAAAATTCATCGAAAGTTATTGGAGACTTCATAAGCTACTCTTCAAAATTATTTTCTAGTATACAGGGTGCACCATGAATCCGGGGTGAAAGAATCGATCGCTTTTTTAAATGGCACACCCTGTATATTATTTCATTTTCGGAATCTCTCTCATGTGGGCTTCACAAACCTATTCTGTTTTTGAAGATCAGATGCGATGTTGTCAAGTTATTAACATTTTAATCAGATTTGACGAGAAACCATAAATGTTGAAAAATATTCAGGGAAACTATATTTTCGAAGATTTATGAACAAAACTGGGTAAACTTCCGCATATTGTTTTTTTTTTCTCTGACGGTAAATCAGGATGGAAACTTGAATGTGGGCGAATGATTCACTGATTCAAGATGTTTTCGTTTGAGATCAAGCCCTCTTTAAGATATTTCAATGTATAAAGATAAAACAAAACTAATTCTTTCATTTCCTGTCAGAATGGAGCCAACAACCATTTACAGCTTTTGGGTGTATGATAAATTGACATTCATCATACAGGGCGTGGAAAGAAATTCTGAATTGAGACTCTATCACGAATCTGCGATTTGAGGTCTATAAAAATCACAAGTTTCCATCGTTCAAGTTTGAACCCCCTGATTGGGTATGAAAGTGTTGAAAAGGAATATTCTCAGATAAATTATGAACATACAAAAATGGATATATATTTATATAAAGCAATACATTGATGTGTGCATATATACATATTTTTGTCTGAAAGAGAATGCAAATTCTCAATTTCAAAAGTTTTTATATTTTATTTTCAAACTCTTATCGTGTGTGTTCAATAGATATAATTCAATGTTCGTCGTGGCATATAGCCAGGAAAGTAGTTGTTTTCTATTGAATCAACTGAGAAAGAGTAAATATTCTCAATGTATTGCTTTATATAAATATATATCCATTTTTGTATGTTCATAATTTATCTGAGAATATTCCTCTTCAACCATTTACAGCCCTTCCCCGAGCCGAGACACCGTGGTCAGTACTGTCTGTAGATCCATGATACTACTAAAACCAAGAGATCCACTGACTCTGCTGAAAATCTGTGTCTTGAAATATAAAATCAAGAATACAGTGCTGTAATTTGAAACACTTTTTATGGTTTCCATCAATTATCAATAGCAGTTGATCAACTGGTGAAATTTGAATATCATTCTCAGCATCAATTATTTTAATAACAGACATTTTGTGATATTGAATATGATATTATCAATTTATAATTGATGAGACAGGACTCTAGCTATATTTTGAATTCGTTACTGAATCTCCTGATTTTTCATTCCGAAATAAAAAAAATCACTGAAAGTGTCAGATACTTGTGAGTAGACATTCTATTCATTTCAAATATTTCGACTCAACATTCTACTGAAATTGCTGACCATCAAAAGGTAGTGTGGTTTCAGCGAACTGTCATCATTTCAGAGGGGTATTTATTTCCGATGTTCCAAACATTGAGTCTCGTCTTATCAATAATAAATTAATAATATCATATTTGATGCCTGTTATTGAAATAATTAACGATAAGAATAATAGTAAAATTCCATCAGCTGATCAGCTGCTGTTGATTACTGATTTTATATTTCGGAACGCAGAGTTTCAGCAGAGCCAGTGGATTTACTAACAGTACTGACCAACTGTTGTGTTTCTTTGGATGATACTGGATAATGTATTGTTTCTTTTTGTTCTTGTTCTTATTATTTCATCATTTTATTATTTCGTTTGTTTCGGAGGTTTTTTTTTATATACAGCGTATCCCATTTCAAACGGCCCCCCTCTATATCTCAGGTATCAGTCGTGCGATCTTGTATCGGTATGAATAATCATCAATATGAGCAGTTCTTCAAAGACAAATCATTTTAGACAATGCCGTGCATTTTTATTGAAATGAATAGGGGTCAGTTTTTTATTACATCATATTAGGCATTTTTTCACAGGAAAACTGACCTCATAATGTTGCTCTTTATGGTTTCAAAACCACATATGTGGATTTTCATGAGATGTCAATAAAGAGTTTTAGACATCTAAACAGCATTTTTGCGAACGTAATAATTATTCTCTCGGAAACGGTGAGGTCAACATAAAAAAGTATAACTCGTTTTTCCTTCCAAATCATGATTTTCCACCTACCGGACCCATTGAATGTTCCAAAATTCGTAGTTGATTTGAAGTCACTATTTATTCGAGATGGACAATGAAAAAAATTAATCCAATCCTGTTGATTCGGAATTAGGTGATTTTTTGCCCATGGGGTTCGAGAGCATGAGGAACAATAATATGAGGTTGGATTTCCTGTGAAAAATGCCTAATATGATTTTTTGTGAAATCGACCCCTTTTTAGTTCAATAAAGACGCACGGCACTGACCAAAATAATGTGCATCTCTGTAAAACTGATCATATTGATAGTTATTCATACCACACCAAATTTGGTTGGAATCGCATGACTAATAACTGAGATATAGAGGGGGGGAGTTGGAAGTGAGACACGCAGTATATTCGACGTCATTTTTTATGGATGATAATAAACCTAATTTTTTGTATTTGACCACTAGGCATTCCAGAACACGTGACTTTTGACAAATTTCTAATGGCCGCCTGTAGGCACACAAGTATTTTTTGTTGATTTACGTAGCAGCAGTAAAATCTTTGGTAGATATATCAAAAAATAATAATGGTTGTTTTGAATAAAAGTGGATGTTTATTATCCTTGGACCGCTATAACAAAGATATTGCGACACGAAAGTATGTGTGCCTACAGTCGGCCATATATTGATTTAGATGGTTTGACAGCATCTTGGATAGGTCAATTATTTGAATGTGATATTTTTTTATACTATCATTCCAATAATGTTTTTTTTGATTCTTCATGTTTTTTTCATGAATATGATGTAGTTATTTCTGAGAATGAGATGAGAGAATGAACCGAGTTCTTCTAAATTCCATGTCTGGTACATTTCACGTAGTTCTAGCACAACTCTATTGTGATTTCAGTGTACTCAGTTTTTTATTCTGGCAACACTGGGCAAAAGTCACAACTGTCACAACAAAAACAAAATAAACTGTGCTGTGTGGTGAGAGGTTATTATTTGTAAACAAGTATAAGTAAATAAATAAGTATGTCTGATTGGGATACGGTGACCGTGTTGAAGAAAAGGGCCCCCAAGGCTTCGGCAATGAAGAGCGAACAAGCTGTCAATGCCGCACGAAGACAGGGAGTCGCTGTGGACACGCAACTCAAATGTAAGATCAATGAAACTTTTGGAATCTTATAGATCTCCTCTAATTTCGTTGATTCAGGGGGTGCCGGCAGTAACAAACAGCATGTCACCACAAAAAACACTGCAAAATTGGATCGCGAGACTGAAGAACTGAAACATGAAGCAATATCTTTAGATGTTGGAAAGCTCATTCAACAAGGTCGCCAATCAAAAGGTCTCAGTCAGAAAGATCTTGCCACTAAAATCAATGAAAAACCACAAG